CTGGGGATCAAGCCCCAAACCCAGGCATGAGCCCTGACAGGGAATCGGACCAGTGACCTCTTGGTGCATGGGACAATGCTCTGCCAACTGAGCCACATGAGCCAGGCACCATTTACTTTTTTTAAAAAAGCTTATATAGTTTTTGTATTGCCATAATTTTTTTCTTCTTCATTTCACCTTTCTCAATATGTTCACTTTTTATTACATTATGATTTCAGCTTTCACCTTTGTTTCACAGATCTGCTTTCTTGAATTTAATTGAACACAAAGCAGACAGATGCTCCCTAAAATTTATTTTTGTTCCTTTTGGTGAATTTCCTTTTCAAAAGTGTGTCTTTGTCTGCATTTTGAGTGGTCTGTTCTCTGAATCCGTATTGCCGAGTCTTTTCACAGATTTTTTTTCCTGTTTAGTTGTCCTTGACTAAAGAGAGGTGCATGTTGTCTGGGTATTGTCCAAGGCTCCCTTCACTGCCTGCCAGGGTGTTGGTAGAATCTTGTGCTCATCTCATAAGCTAGAAGGATGGAAGTAGACTTGAATTTTTGGTACCATTTACGCACCCAAAGGTACTTTATTCTGTCATTTCTTCTCTGGGATAGTTGAAGCCACTGGCGAAGTGCTTCCAGCTTCCTGTTGGGTCAGAGCTGCACACTGGATACATACATGTGGCTGAGCCCAAGGTGTGGCTCTACTGGTGACCACATCAGGGGAACCCCCCACAGCTGATTTCTGCTCACTGTGGCACAAAGTGGGGGACTCTCTGGGGCAGACGATGTCAGGGCTGCTGATCTGAAATGTTGAGGGGTTCACAGTGACGCTTTCCCTAGGGTTCTGGTGGCCAGATCACAAGAGATATGAGGCTCTTCATGACTTTATGATGTCCCCAATGTTGTGCTTTCCCAGGAGTGGAGGTTGTTAATGTTCATGATCATTTTATTTATTTTATTTTTAATATATTTTTATTGATTTCAGAGAGGAAGGAGAGGGAGAGAGAGAGAAACATCAGTGATGAGAGAGGATCATAGATTGGCTGCCTCCTACACACCCCCTACTAGGGATCAAGCCTGCAACCCAGGCATCTGCCCCTGACTGGAATCAAACCCGGGACTCTTCAGTCCATAGGCCAACACTCTATCCACTGAGCCACACTGGCTAAGGCTCATGATCATTTTAGTTGTACAGTGTTTGACCGTGATTTGTTTTTACATAGCATCCTTTGTCCTATCAAATAGAGCAGTGGTTCTCAACCTTCTGGCCCTTTAAATATAGTTCCTCATGTTGTGACCCAACCATAAAATTATTTTCATTGCTACTTCATAACTGTAATGTTGCTACTGTTATGAATCGTAATGTAAATATCTGATATGCAGGATGGTCTTAGGTGACCCCTGTGAAAGGGTCGTTCGACCGCCAAAGGGATCGCGACCCACAGGTTGAGAACCGCTGAAATAGAGTAAAGGGTCAGGATTTGAAGCGCTTCCTTCAGAATGAATGACACCAGTGCCTGACCCCCTCATTCCTGTGTGTGTGAGTGTGTGTGTGTGTGTGTACCTGAGTACTCCTGGGCATGTCTAGGTGCCCAGCATGTGGCAGGTGTGTTAGCGTGGGGTCATGCCCTGGCCCTGGGAATCGACTCTGGTTCCACAGGGCTTCCCTTTGGCTATCCCCTCCACTCGGGTGGTAGCAATCTAAGTTCAAAGCACTTTTATGAAATACAAGTGAAGTGAGAATTTGACGGAGGATGCTTTGGTTCCTGCTGTCTCAAATATGTGGTGTTTACAAACAGTAAATATTTTTAATGGTTTCAACTCATAATAAAAAGAGTGACATACGAGCATATATAGTAGGAATAGGAACTTGTCTTAGGAAAAAAGTGTCAGTCATTTTCACGCGAACTTGTCCTTGTATAATTAGCAGTATATGCCATGTGACACTTCTTTTTAATCTTTTAAACTGTCTATTTTGTAAAGAAAGGGTGGTTAGGTTAAACCTATGTTGTGAATCCACAATCCATTTAATTGGAGAGCCATGAATCTATCCCCTTTGAAAGAGGATAGACCTTTGGCATAGAGAATGCCTTAACGTCTTTGTTTTCTGGAAAGCATTTTAATGATGAAAGCTTGAGTTTTGTCCACACCTGAGAATACACTTGGGGGTTCACATAGACATGGCAATTCTATGAAATATAGATATAGATATCCTGAATTATACCATACTATTTTCAAAACTTGCTATTGTTGTTAAATTACTTTCTGATATTTGTCAGGATAAGAGTCTGTGGCCAGCTTGAATTTTCATTACTTTTAAATAATGTATTTTATTTTCTCAAAGATTTTCAAGTTCTTTTCTTTATTCTTTGAATTAAAAAATTAGAACGGCATACGGCATACGTTAGATGTTTTCATTTATCTTTTTCCTGGTTGTGTTTGATCTCTTTTCATCTGTTTACCGAGGTGTTTCTTCAGTCTAGGAAAACTTCCTTGATTAAAGCTGCTCATATTTGCTATTATGGAAGCCCTATTGCCAGCAGATAGGACCATCTGCTTCTTACTCCTATTAGCCTTCCGTTTTCATTTTTTAATGCTTTGTCCTTTGCTCTTAGGTTTTGAGAATCGAGATGGGTCCTATCAGTGATTCATGGACATTCCTGGCAGGAACCTGAAGCCCCAAATGAAGGGAGAAATAGAAAAGTTTAAATTTACCCTCGTTTTATTTTGCCAGTTGCCAGTCCAAACAGCCTGGAGGGCAGTGGGGCCCTTGGAGGTGAGAGTGAAAATGAGAGGCAGACGCAGCCAGGGATGCTATTGCTAAAGAGCTTCAATTCCTTTTTTGGAGCAGCTCTCAGGGCTGGCCGCAGTCTGCCATCCTTTGGCAGGCGGGCTGTCTATGGTGTGTGAGTGACTCCCAGCCCTTCCGTGCCAACAACCTGTCCTATGCTGCCTCTGAAACCCAGAGCGCTTCCTAACGCTGCTGATGGAGCCACCGCCAACCTCCCCTCCCAGGGGGCAGAGGCCTCTGTGGATGGGCTTTGCATCTTTCCCTTTGCATGTTAGAGATTCACAGTCAGATGGTGATTCACGTGAACTTTCTCTGTGTTTTACATCATTGACATTCCCGGGAGTTTCTTGTGTGTGGATGACCCCTTGCTTACATTTTGAGGTTGATCCAGACTTTTTCCTTCTTTTTTTATTGCTGATCATTTTCCTGTGGATCTACAGGGGAGTAGTTTACATATCGCCAAGAAGCCTAAGTCTTCTTTCTTGTGGATACAAGTCAGAGGATTTTGAAGTCAGGAAGGTGGGCTCAGCCTTGGGAAATGGAGACTTGATGGTAATCTTAAGTGTCCTGCTACAGTATTTCTCATCTGGTTGCCTACGATGATCAAGGTCACCAAATAATGGCAATGATGGTAATGATAACAATTGCCTTTTATGAAAAACATCCAGTAGATGTGATGTTGGTCAAAGAGCACACAGTTCTAGTTATGAGACAAATAAGTTCTGAGGATCTAATGTACAGCATGATGACTAGCTAGCAAGTATTAGTTTTGAGTATTATATATGTGAAAGTTGCTAAGACAGTAAAACTTAAATATTCTCATCACAAAAAAATTGTAACTGTGTGAGGTGATGGATGTGTTAACTAACTATATTGTGGTAATCTTTTTCCAATCTATACATGTATTAAATCATCATGTTGTACACCTTAAACTTACACAATGTGATATGTAAATCACATTTCAATAAAGATGGGAAAAAAAATCAACAGTGGGTCACATGGTTGATGTGACTATATTAATATCAATTTGATTTAACATTTATAGCAATCTAGGAGATTTGTTGGTTGGATCTCCATTTTATAGCTGACTCTCATAGAAATTAAATAACTTGCCTGCCCTGGCTGGATGGCTCAGTTGGTTAGAGAGTGGTCCCATACACCAAAGGTTGCGGGTTTGATTCCCAGTCAGGGCACATACCTACGTTGTGGGTTTGATCCCCAGTTGGTATATTTACGGGAGGCAAGTAATACCTCTCGCCCTCTCTTTCTCTTTCTCTCTGTGTCAAATCAATCAAGACATATCTTTGGATGAGGATTAAAAAATATAATAATAACTTGTCTGGAATTGCATAGCCAATATGTTGTAAAGTGTCCTCAAAGTTTCTGTTCTTTTATTTATTTATTATTATTATTATTTTTGCTGTTTGTCTGTCTGCAGTGTTGTCCTATCTCCTAATCTCTGTGGTATTTAGTATTCCTAGTTACTGGACTTTGATATCTGTTGGCATTTTATGGCTCTACATACTAAGTCCTTCTCTGAGGAGAGCATGCTTTATCATTTCTCTTATACCCTCTGGAAGTCTTGACTAGCAGGGGGGAAGGTCTTGTCCTCAGTTCCTAGGTTGATCACCCATCCTCCTGTTTGTTTTTCAACTAGGGTATTTGTCTGCTCCTAGAGGCATCCTTCCTGTCCAGTGAGCTATTTTGCCTTCATGGCTACCTTTGTAGCCCTCTAAGATTATTCTGGCGATTTAGATCTGCTTGGCTGTCTTGGAAGACCCGTGGGCCAGGAGGCTGCTATTCTCCACGGTCCCTGTGAACAAAGTACTGTCATCATAGCAGAATCTCAACCTGATGATGATGTTGCTGGTCATGCTTTATTGCATCCAATTAGGGCAACAAAAATTAAAATCAGAGAAGCTGCAAAACCATTGATCATGTAGGGAACCCTTAAACATAAAAGGTAGCATTGGGAAAGTGTTAGGGGTGGTCAGTGCCTGGTAGATGAGAACATTTTATTTTTATTCTTGCTTCATAAAAATGTTGTGCATTTATTTTATAACTTGCTCCTTGAGATATGCTGGCCAGCTCCATTATTAGATTAATATTTGGAATACATTGGAATAAATAAAAATATTGAATGACTCTAAAATGTGTCACTGTAATTGTAGGATCATTCTTTGTTTCTGTTATTCTAATTGAATTATGTCTTTTCCTCCCTTAGGTTACGGTCTTTGGTCAAACAGTTAGAGAGAGGGGAGGCTTCAGTGGTAGATCTTAAGAAGAATTTGGAATATGCAGCTACAGTGCTTGAGTCTGTATACATCGATGAAACCAGGTAAGCTAAAAATGACAAGAAGTTAGTGCACTTATGGTGACTTTTCCATTAAATGGCCCTTCTGAATTGTCCCCCATGGCATGTACAGGGTAGCATTCAAATGACTGGTCTTGGAGCTTTAGTTTCCACAAGCAAATGGGGTAGATTTGAGCTCACATTTTCTCTGTACCTCCTCATCGATCAAAAGGAGCGTTTGATAGAACTTATCTCATCCAGCCATTATGACACTGGAGTGAGGCCATGTAAGAGGGGAAAAGGTCATTGTAAAAATTGGGTAAGATTTTCTATCTAATGTAGGCTTCTATTATGATCATTGCATATTGTTAGGTTCAGTCTAAATGTTATGGTCCTACTGTAGCTCACAGTATCTGTCTGTACGTGGAGGGTCTGGGGGTGATGGAGAAGCATTTGTTCTCTTAAGCACCCCATGTTTCTCTTTCAATAAGTATGACATTGATTTTTCTTAGCTGACTCTGCACTTGAATTATCCAAAAGTATTAAAGTGCTTCCAATTACTAAATGCATTTGAAAACAATAAAATTGCTTTTCTTTTGGAAAAGAAAAGTTGAAATGATGAATATGAAATCTTCTTTTAAAAATTCAGATAGGCCCCTTTGTCAGTATTTGTGCGTCCTTACATTTCTATGCCAAATTCCAATCTGAGATGATTCTTAGATGATTTCCCAGCATCTAAGAATTTGTGGCTTAGTTTTTGTAGCATGATTGGTTCCTAATTTAAGGAAATTTGATATCATAGTTCCCCCCCAAATGATACACACTTTATTCCCTTTCCCCAACTGATGTGTTTAAAGATAAAAAATCTTTTTATTAACACCAGTTTTTACTCCTTTTTAGCAGGGCTTAATATAAGTATAAAATACAATTCTAAATTTGATGTAACTTAGTATATTTATATTTTGTTCTAGTGGTCTGACCTATGAACAAGTTTAAAATATCAGCTAAGTCCACCTGACAGATGACTTAAATGTCTGTGCTCAAATACAGAACTGTTTATTTGGGGGATTTTGCTTGAATTTAAACATCTAAGTTTCTGTGGTGGTCTATCAAACCAGAGAATATCAGTTGACATTGTTAGGGTTTGAGTAATACTTTATAGTCTATTAGTTTTTCCTTTTAAAAAAATTACTTTTATTGATATATAATTGGCACAGAACATTGCGTAAGTTTAAAGTGTACAATGTGTTGATTTGATACATTTATATATCACAGTATGATTAACCCGCAGCATTAGCTAAGACCTCTATCACGTCACATAATTATCATTATATTTTTGTGATGGGAACAATTAAGATCTAGTCTCATAGCAACTGGAAAGTTTATGATACATTGTTGTTGTCTATGGCAAAGTCTTTAAATGTCAATTTAAAAAACCAACAATACCACAAGGCCCATCTATGAAATAAACCTCCCTGTGCATTGTTAAATGGGAGGGTTAGATTCCATTCAAATTCCACAACCCTAGGAATCAGGATGCTCTGAGTGCAGTGGGTCTGAGACCCACAGAGCCTGAGATGGACTCTGTGTGACTCTCTCTGACTCAGTTTCCTTGTCCAGGCCGGTAGAGAGAGCCGTCCTGAAATATAACTTGTAGAAAAGACATTTCTGAAAGGCAAATGGTGAGCTCTCACAAACCTTACCTAAAAGGTGCTGCATTTTTTTGTGGCTGATTTAATTTGGTTTCTTTGCACCTGCGTCTGCAGATGGGGGAGAGGAGCAGCTGTTCAGAACAGAGAGCTCTCACTTCAGGTTTTGTCTGTGTCCGGTTGTGTTTCTTGTGTTCAGGCGACTCCTGGATACGGAGGATGAGCTCAGTGACATCCAGTCAGATGCGGTGCCTTCCGAGGTCCGAGACTGGCTGGCCTCCACCTTCACGCGGCAGATGGGGATGATGCTCAGGAGGAGCGATGAGAAGCCGCGGTTCAAGAGCATCGTGCATGCAGTGCAGGCTGGGATATTCGTGGAGAGGTAAAGGCACCTGTCATTCATTCGGTAACCAAAGCAGCATGAGGAACACCTGTTCCCCAGAAATGGAAGATTTGCTTTGAGGTACTTTTGGTGTCTATATAAATACGGGAAAGCCTGGGTGCAAACAGATAGTCTTGAATGAGAGACTTTCCTCTCTGTAGCACCATTAGGACAAGCTTTTGTCTCTGGCTCAGATTCTTTTTGTCAACCGAGTTGAGTCCAGTCTCCCACTTTTAAAGGACATCCTTTGACACATGTGGAGGGTGTCTGCATTTGGGACAGGTCAGGGACAGCTTGTTGACGCAGGAGGGCAGTTCACTGAAAGGGCTCCAGTTCCCCTTGGAACTTTCCAATTCTGTTAGCCGTTTTGTTCTTTGAAATTGCATTGCTTCCCTTCCCTGGATATAGATTCCAGAAATCGATCTATTCTTCCTGTAATCCTTATTATAAAAATGGGTTTATTCTTCCTGTAATCCTTATTGTACAATTAAAGGTTTTAGAATTTCACAGTTCACCCTGGACGTTTTCCTGCTTGTTCTTCTAAATGGGTTACCCATAGGAGCTCGTTGTCCAAGGTAAAGTTCTACATTGCATACTCTCTATGTTGTACTAGAATTCTCTTCTGGCAGAATTTTAATCATATAATTTCCAACTTGAGCCACACAGATTCATTCTTTTTTGTTTCCAACAGTTCATATGTTTGGGATTATGTTAATTTCTTTTGAATTTTACACTTAGGCCACTTGAGTGACTACGAAAAAGATTACAAAAGAAATGTTAGGTGCCTTGGGTCGCCAGATGACATGACTTCTCATTATTTGTCAATACTTGTAAAATGTAATATTGCATTTTCTCCTTCTCTGACTTTGCCAGAATGTATAGACGTACATCAAACATGGTTGGACTGAGCTACCCAGCAGTGGTTATAGAAGCATTAAAGGTAATACCAATGAAAAAGTATGACAATGTATATGGTACTCTATAAAAATACAATTACACTTGTCATTACGAAATAAGAGGCTTTCATTTATAGTTCATTTAGATTTCCCTGTCATTCCTGATTTTTAAAACTTTTATTATCTTTTACTTATCTGTTTAAATTGTATCACTATCTTTTCAGCCTTCATCCTGCTAAATTTTTTTTTTTATTAAATCAAACTCTGTGGGTTTCATATTCCTCTAATC